TCCAACATGGATGTTAACGATATTAAGCCCATCATATCGAGTAAAATTAACGAGGAGTAAGATGATTTACATAGTATAAAATACCAGCTGACGATTAAAATGTTATTGAGTAAAAGTAACACAGACGATAGCACCGAATATACCGAACCATATTTCCGTAGCAATCAAGAAGTTATAACCGAATCCGATACTAAAAAGGCATCATTAGATACATCAATTCAGAGGATACAGGAAACTTTAGAACGCTGGACTAATAGAGGCTCGGGTTGGGGTGTGGATAAAATCGATAGTTTATATTTAGATATAGCAAATTATATGCCCTTCAAAGGTGGATCTTATATAGATTTACCCCCGTATTATAAGAAGAAAAAAGCCATAATTAACGTAAAAAATAAATCCGATGATTGTTTAAGAATGATGATAAGATCTGCATTGTTCCCCATAGACAAGCAACCGGATAGACCTTCTAGCTATCCTCAAAACGATGGACTCAACTTTGATGGTATAGATGAACCTACACCAATTTCACAAATTGATAAGGTGGAAAAGCAAAATAATTTAGCTATAAATGTTTTCGGACATTCTTAAGGAATCGTTGTACACAGGATAAGCTCCGCTCGGGAACATATCCCCAGAATCAATTCATTTCTGATCGAAAAAGATGGAAAATATCATTATACATGGATAAAGAGTTTAAACAGGCTATTATACGATCAAACAAAACATGCTAGAAAGAAATATTTCTGCGAAAGATGTCTACATGGGTACAGCAGACAAGATCTATTAGAAGCGCATAAAGAAGACTGTAGAGGTGTTGGACAGACCGCTATCAGGATGGATATGCCTAAAGAGGGAAAAAATATATTAAAATTTGAACATTATTGTAATCAAATGTCAGTACCATACATAATTTATGCCGACTTCAAACCCATAGAAAATACCAACCGTAGCAATCAAGATAGTTTTACATACAAAACTCAAGAACATATTCCTTGTGGGTTTGGATATATAGTTGTAAAGTATGATGGGAAAACAAACCAGCCCGTGATTTACAGAGGTCCCAATGCAGCGGGAAAGTTCCTAGAATATCTACAAAATGAAGAGAGAATGATCAGGGAAAAATTATCGTGTAAGAAACCCATGTGTATGACGAGGGATGATTGGAGGGTCCATAAGAAGTCAACGAGTTGTCATGTTTGTAATAAACCCCTGGATGGGGATTCCGTAAGAGATCATTGCCACGTCACGGGTAATTATCGGGGAGCCGCGCATAACGAGTGTAACTTGAAACTAAAAATGAATTCTCAAACAATACCCATCCCCGTTGTGTTTCATAACCTTAGGGGATACAATTCACATCTCATTATGCAAGCTATCTCAAAGACCGACGGCGGTTTAACGTGCATTCCTAATAATATGTAAAAATACATATCGTTCTCGTTGACTAAACCTATACATTATACGGACAAGGATGGGAAATCCAGAATAAAGCAAAGTAATAGGCTTAGATTCATAGACTCCGTACAGTTTCTGTTATCTTCCCTGGACAATTTAGCTAATGCGAACAATCCCGATGACTTTGCGATAACAAATAAATATACCGATAAGATAACTCGTCATTTGTTGCTGAGAAAAGGTGTATATCCTTACGAATATATGGATGATTGGTCTAGATTCGAAGAAACTGAATTACCACCCCTTGAATCATTCTATAGTAACTTAACTGAATCTAAAATAGCAGATGCCGATTATGAACACGCTCTGACGGTCTGGGATAAATTAGGTTGTAAGAATTTAGGCGATTATCACGATCTGTACTTAAAAACCGATGTACTGTTACTCGCCGATATATTCGAGATATTTAGAAAGACATGTTTAAAACAATACAGCTTGGACCCGGCATGGTACTATTCCAGTCCTGGACTATCGTGGGATGCATTGTTGAAGAAGACCGGCGTAGAACTAAAACTACTCACAGATTACGATATGCACTTGTTTATTGAGAAAGGATTAAAAGGTGGTATATTGATGGCAGCTAAAAGGTATTCTAAGGCCAATAATAAATTAGTGGAAGGATACGATCCGAGTAAACCCGACACGCATATATTATATCTCGACGCTAACAATTTGTACGGATGGGCTATGAGTCAACCTTTACCCACGAGTGGTTTTGAGTGGGTCAATGATATCCATAATATCCATAATAATGATGCGAATAAAGGGTACATACTAGAAGTTGACTTGGAATATCCAAGTTCGTTACATAAAGATCATAACAGTTATCCGCTAGCTCCCGAAAGATTAATGGTTAATAAAGATTGGATGTCGGAATATCAACGCTCCTTGATGGGTAATAGTAAATTAGCTAACATAGAAAAACTCGTACCCAATTTGATGGATAAGACAAAATATATAGTTCACTACAGAAATCTCCAGTTGTATCTATCGTTAGGTATGAAACTAAAGAAAATACACAGAGTTCTAAAGTTTGATCAAAGCCCTTGGATGGAGCCCTATATAAGGTTGAACACAGATTTAAGAAAGATAGCTACCAGCGATTTCGAAAAGAATCTGTATAAGCTCATGAATAACTCAGTATTTGGTAAAACTATGGAGAAGCGTGTTGATGTTAAATTAGTCAGATCTAATGAGGAAGAAAGACTCAGGAAACTTATAGCCAGTCCGGCTTTTAACAGAAGCAAGATATTCGATAACGACTTAGCCGCGTTGCATATGCAGAAGAGTAATATAAAATTCAACAGATCGCTGTACGTCGGTATGAGTTTTCTCGACTTGTCAAAACACTTAATGTATGACTTTTATTACAACGAACTTAAGAAGCAATACGGCGATAGATACGAGGTGTTATATACCAACACAGATTCTTTGTTGATGGAAATACAAACCGAGGATGTGTATAAAGATATGGCAGAAAAAATAGATATGTACGACACGAGCGATTACCCAAAAGATAATCCACTGCACAGCGTAGTAAATAAAAAGGTGTTAGGTAAGATGAAGGATGAATGTGCTGGGACCCCTATAGCGGAGTATGTCGGATTAAGACCTAAGATGTATTCTATAAAAAAGGACCGCCTCCGTCGTCTAGTGGTAGAGCGTCCGCCCGGAGAGCGGAAGGTCCGGGGTTCGATCCCTGACCGCGTCACACCAAAAGACGTTAAAAGAAGGTACTTGTTGTTACCCTGTCTGGCGCTCAGCATCAAGGGGCTAAAACAAGGACTGGTCGGCTCGGAGTCAGTATACTGTGTCTGAGTGGGGTATTCATGTTGAACTGCGGCATGGTATCTCAGTGAGCTAGCACTATAAATCGGCATCAGTCCGGACTAGTACAAGCAGCCACACAAACACACACACGTACTTGCACGTCGCAAAATAAGTGCAATAATCTTGGACGCAACGTTAAACCCCATTTCACCTCACCTCACCTCACCTATAAAAAATTCCGATAATGGGGAGATAAAAAAGGCCAAGGGTGTTAAGAAGTATGTGGTAAAAAAGCATATCAAACACGAACAGTATAAAGAATCATTATTCAACGGTAGAACGTTCAAACACGAGATGAACTCTTTAAGAAGTTACAATCATAGGATATATGGATTAAGAATGAACAAGACATCATTATCCCCCTTAGATACAAAGAGATGGATTGATAATGATGGTGTAACTACCTATGCTTATGGTTATTGTGGTAATACCGTACCGTCGGGAACTATGAACAACTCTTCTCGTACAAATGCCCTACCCGGTCCATCTTGAAGATAATAAAGAATAGGCTCTCCTTCTTTTGTAACCAATCGACTAATGTTATATGTCTTAAGGGACCATATGGGATCGGTTGCGCGACGTAGGCCTCCTTCAAGTTCACCTGCCTGGTATAAATATCTTACCCTTACTCTATCAGGAAGTTTTCGTTCTTTGCCTCGCCTCGGTGCTGAAGATTCGGAAGTCACGGATTTCATTTTAATAGCATCGGATGGTTTCTTCCCTATTAATCTCGTTACTTCATTATTCAGCGCTGATACAACAGCTGATAATCGTGTCACCCATTCGGTTGATCTCAATCGTTCGGATTTCATTTCGATCCCATACTGATAGCCAAACAAACGTTCCGCTAATGTCCGGTTAAATCTTTCAACGATAGCTTGACTGCGGTGGGCCTCTCTTTCACCACGCCTGATTTCGACATCGTGCTTTGTTAACAGTTTAGTTACCGATCCCATAAACTGACGACCGGGATCTACTTGAAATAGCTTAGGCCATTTTAGCGGTCCGCGTTTATATATGCGACTCAGTGCATTAGCTACTTCTGTTGAATCTTTCGAGGTTAATGGCTCAGCCTTTTTGTATCGACTAGCCACATCCACTACCGTTAAAGCGTATTTATACGTTTTGCGTTTTACCTTATCGTGGGGAAGAAACAAGAGGTCAGCCTGATGAACTTCATTTGTTGTAAAAATATCCAACTGTTTCCTCGGTATATAACGCGGTGCCGGTAAATATATTTGCCACATCGCTTGTTTCTTTAACCAATCCTTGGCTACATCTTTAGATACCTTAGCCGCGGTGGCTAATTTTTTTATTGCTCCTACACCTTTCCAATATCCTCGTGGGCTATAGTAAATTTTATTCATTATTAATTAATATTGATGTTTCGTTTAATACAACTCATGACTATCGTTTAATCGCATAATCATTTTGGCATAAAAAATGCCACCTGTAGTAGCAGTATAGGTATATGAATCTGGCGCCAGTTGAAGTGGTCAAGAACCATCATTACCTATACTACTTCTTTCGTATTGTGTAATTTGGCTGCAAATGCTATTGTACTGAATAGGTTGTCGTACTTTGAACATATCGGATTAAATATGAATGTACATACACTTATTCGCTTCATTTGTGGACATATTTACGCTGTTTTCAATAAAGGCCACAAACAAAAAAACAACACTGAAACACTTTCACTTTCATGTGCACTGCAGGGTGTCCAGTATCTCATTGAAGGCAGAGAGTGCATCAAGTCCACACTTCAACAGAAGGACAAGATCGGTTGTGTACCAGGTAAGGATACTGTGTCAATCTGTGACACTCATTTCCTACTAGCTTACACTTTGTTTGAAGGGCGATGTCAATGATTTAGACAATGTTTAAAAAATAAACTTGGCTCTATCCCCATGTATGGTGTAATAAAGTGTAGTTTTGCCCTGAACTATTATAGTTAAAGCACGAAGAAATGTGCGGTGCGCTAATTTGAAAATCCACGAACCGGGCTAACTGACGTGCTGTTAAACCTAATTACCATACGTTTCATTACATTATGTTTACTTATAGCTAGGTTGCGCTTGAATTACTGTCTGTTATTTGATCAAAGTAATAGATCCATCTGCACAGAGAGTTGTGTTGCTTGTGTCGTGTTGCATAATGTAATTATACCAGACTGCAATATGATTACTACTTGTATAGTCCCAAAGCAAGTTTATCTTGTGTTCCAAAAGAATATGAGCAGAAAGGAATTTTACCGAAGACCAGAAATTGAAGGATTAGAAAACATTGAAAAACTTTTTTTGTCACGTAACTGATCATGATATCAGCAGACCATATAAGGTGTCACATAGACACCGTAGGGAGTGCAGAGTCTATTGCAAGACAGAAACGTCAGAAACGTGTTTATGATCCACGGACATTGACCACAGTTCAAACCCTATGCCTCATACTCATTACAAGTCGTTGAATGCTTCTCTGAGGCAAACGGATCCATTCTTCATGAAAAGCGGCTTCAAGTCCAGCGAGATTTGAACTGGGGGATCACGATGTCTAATTTTCCGGCCAAGAATGTCCCAGAGATGCTCAATTGGATTAAGATCCGGACTACAGGCTGGCAATAGCTTCTTGACGCAAATAAGCCAAAACTGCCCAAGATCTGTTTGGTCTAGTATTGTCGTCCATATAAACAGGTCTTGTCTGAAGAGGATGGTTGTCAAAATGAGCGACTACCACTGGCCGAAGAACGGCATCTTGGTATTGTTGGCCATTCAGGTTTCCACGAATTGTCACCAGCGGAAGTTTGCAGCCGAAGGAAACACAACCCCTTATCACGACAGACCCCCCGCCACATGCTAAGGTCTTCTGGATGTTCCTTGGTGCAAAACGAGTGTTACGTTGCCTCCAAACACGTATTCGACCATCAACAGTTCGTAGCAGCATTCGACACTCGTCAGACCAATGGATCCTTCTCCAATTGGTCAAGTTCCATCGACTACGGGCACAAAACCATATCAGACGATTACGCATGTGCCTCCCAGTCAGTTGAGGACGTTTTACGTTCATCGTCGAGACTCTGATGGGTCTTAAATCTGTTGAAGTGGCAAATGGATTTCGTCTGACTATCCTGAAAAGAGGTCTATCCTCTCTGTTAGAGGTCTTTCTTGGCCTACCAGACCTATGCCTGTCATTGACATAATTGGTTTGACCATGTTTGACAACCAAACGAGTGATAACACTGTGATGACGACCGATTTGTCTTGCAATGGCCCTGCATGACATGCCAGCATTTTTCATGCAAATCACTTGCCATCTTTCAGCGTTCGTTTACTTTCTCCTCACCATGGCTGATTTTCAACCTCTTTTGGAAGGGGAATCTCACACAGGAGCAAAATGCAACCACGTGTCTGAAACTTGAATTTCACTATTGATAGGGTAGGGGAACTGCAGCAACACGTAAAGCACGCTTTCCTTGTGGTATCTGGACAAATTTGGGTTTATGAAACTATGGAAGCCTAATTCAGTCATACATCATCATATTTCGTATTTCTGATTCCCACACGTGAAATCAAGAGACTATGAATATGGTGGCGCTTAACTTTTGTGCATGTGTATACATACATGCTTCATAATGAATGGCACAGGTATGTAGTTCATAGAATCTGACTACACAATAACATCCGGTATATAAATTGGATATTTGTTATTGGAAAATGTTGGTGGCCTGATATTCGAAACCGGTGCGTCAAAACGCAGCCATTGTCGATTTGCAGTTTCTTAAACGGGATTGTTTTCACACTTGTTCAAAAATGTCATGGAGGAACACAGTAAAGCAAAATGCACCTGCATGTTAAGGTATTCCTAACTCGTGGTAGTGGCTATAAAAAGGCAAGCATAAGCCAATAATTTGTCATTCAATTTTCAACATTCGAAAATGCCGAGACTCGGAGCATCGCCATAGGACGGATCCAGAGAGGGGAATCGCAGTCTTCTGTTGCACGCCACTTCAACGTCCACCACAGCACCATTTGACGCCTTTGGGGCCGATACACACAGCTCAATTCCAATGCAGACTGTCCGAGAACCGGCCGACCAAGTTAACACCCCTGCACAGAATGTTACATTCAACTGTTCCACCTACGTCATCGCAATGCCACAGCTACGTAGACTGCAGGACGCATCCCTGGTTTGAGAAGGATATCGAACCAGACTGTCACAACCCATCTTCACGAGGCTGGAATCCGACCCAGAAGACCAGTTATCGTCCCTGTTTTGCAAGCGAGGCTTGCGTTGGTGCCATACCTTACAGCCTTGGAATTTGAGAAACAGGAGACAAGTGTGGTTGAACGATGAATCACGATTTCTTCTTCACCGACGAGATTGAAGACAACGTGTTTATCGTCGTCGAAATGAGCGTTTTGCCTCACAACTAATTTTACAGTGAATAATTTAATAAGTAAAATGATCATTATTTCATGTCATCTTTTTTTTCTTGGTTTTGTTCCTGAACATGGTGAGTACATGTGTTTTTATTATGAAAAAATAATAATTACAAATTCAGCAGACAGATTTCTTTTGAACATAATATTTAACATAATAACACCAACAATGTTACTAAATGAGTGATCTAATTTTCACATATTTGTGAATGACAATGAACAACGTGAATTTGACAAGCACAATACTTTATTGTGTGTGAAACACAAATACATAGGATATATGTAAACAATAAATTATCATTTCAATAGTTATACAAATATTTACAACATTTTCATTCTCTTGTAATATTACGTTGTTATTTTACTGCTACAGTTACATCCCAAAAACTTTTCTTTCTATCAGACTAGAAATTAAAAATTACTGATAATAGGTAATTAAAAATTAATATTTTATCATCAGACATATATTTCAGAGACCATTTTTGTGTGAAAAGGATTAAAATAAAAATTTGACATAGTTATGTTAAGAAATGAGGTTTATGGTAAAATGTTAGAAATACCTCATTTATCAGCTCACCTGGTTGAAATGTGGTTAATGTGGTATGCTGTTTGTCCGTTGTCCGTGGTAAACATATTTTATTCGGAAACCAAAGGACCAATTTTGCCAGACCTTCAAAGCTTGTTCCCACGAATGGTGACAACACCAATCTGATCAGTTTCGAATAGGATTGAAAAATGGTCGCTATACTTGAATAGCTGTTTATGTTTAGTGGAGGGAAATTTGGTACGCAAGTATCTTTATCATATTGCATTTTACAAATATTCTGTAGTTATTTAGTCAAGTCATTTATTCCGTATAAATGGCCATGAGGCCAACAGTACACCAAGTGTAAAATATGCGACAATATAATGATACGGCGCCTCTAACATGATTCTATTTTCTTTCACAATACATTCATATTATTTCTTATTTTAAAGATTTTATCGAGGAAAATACAGAGCTTATGTAACTTATCATAATCAACCATGTTCAACAAGTTGATAAAATTTGTACATATTTGGTTGATAATAATAATAAGTTGGAAGATATTTAACACGTAAATGGATATAAGCCGGACATACCAACACGACATGGAGTTCATCTTCAACTTGTGTGTTACAATATGACTTTTATTCACTTTATTCAGATGTATTGTAGGCCATTGGCCCATGATACAATGGTTACAATGTGATGATGGGAGCTGGAGATCCCAACACACTTTGCCTTAGATTCATAGCTTTTAGAATATACATGACTAGTTTCTTAACAGTAAATGGGTTGGTAGATGACATTAAAATATTGTACTCATGTCTTGTCGGGAACTCATAATTATTCAAAAATATATATTCTGAAGTCAAAACTTGATAACAATCACAAATTAAAATAAAGTGATACTCATCTTCGATATAATCATGTGTTACAATAATGACAAAATGTATCTGGTGTTTGGTACTTTCTATAAGAATTTACACTGAAACCATGAATAATACTACGTAGCTTTGTCAGGCATCTCCGTAAACCTGCATTAATGATAAATAAGTATTTCTCGGGATTGTAGTCATGTTTAATCATTGAGTAGAATTTTAAGTATCTTGATATGGATATTTCATGGCTCCACTCTTGGAAATATACATCTTTACATCGTAGCTGAAATAATTCTAAGAAGTGGTTTCTGTTATCAATTGACTGGGCTACCCACACATAACTGGGTCACGTGCCCTAGCAGTGTCGAACGATAAATTTACAGTTATCGGAAGATGATCTGATTCAGTTGCGGTTAAAATATCAACGTTAATTACTTTTCCAAACAAAGAGGTAGAAACTATACAATAATCTATGACACTATTTCCTTGAGTACCAATATAAGTATAATCTCCATTTTTATCATTATCTACCCTTCCATTTAAGACATGCACATAGAAGTTTCGACATAGAAACAACAGTTGTCTCCCTTCATCATTTATAACTTCATCTTTGGATATTCTCTGTATATCAAAATAATCATTATCATATTCAAATTCATCAAGTGGAAGTTGAGACACGTCATCATTTTCATTGTAACACTGTTTCATGTACTTCTCATTTGTAAATATTATCAGTTTCTTAGAAATAGATACCTCCCTATGATTTTAACTATGTACAAGGATGAACAACCGATGAGAAATTTGTTGAACTCCTGCAATGCAAATACAATATCATCTCTGTCAATATTCCTGAAGAAATTTTTGAAATTAGACGTTAATATTTTATGTAAACTTATTATTACCTACACGTGACTGTACAATGTTGATACAAAAAAACAACACTACTGTACTATAGGT